GCCATATGTTTACATGGATGTTGTATTGTGTTTAAAACGTGCTATGCACTTTTCTACCCATTACATTTTGTACGATAGTCTGAGGCCCTGTACAGAAATAAAATTACATAATACAAAATTGACTAATACTAAAATGAATAATAGTAGACAGATTTCGACATGAAATCGTATCACTTTTATGTGCGCTAACATCTGCGAGGACCGAAAAACTCGTAAGTAGCCTTCTACCTTAAAATACTTAGACAATAATGCTAAGATAAGTACAGTCTCTTTTGTGTACAACATTTTGCCGTAGTGGATCAATGGTGTGGATGTGTTTGTCTGTAGGTGGGGAATGGCTCAGTACCCCTACTTTAAAATGGTAAAACAGTTCAAAGACGTTATGTGAAATATCTTACCAACGTAACCCAAAGTAAACCAATTGAATTTAAAACCGATAATATGAAAATGTCTGTAACAGAGCGCAAAAACACTTTTTGAATATTATAAAATTCACACATTTCACATCAAAAATATAATTGTTGTTTTCGAACCCCCTATTCAAAAGTGCTGGCTACGGGCCTGTCTCAATTGATGCCAATATCCTATAGCCATAGTTCCTCATACTAAGTGAGTTGCATACGAAATGTCGTCGCCGAGGAGAAAACTATGATGTAATCAAAACATTAATACAAATGCTCAAAACCTTGCAAGACTATTCATAATTGTGTGCGTATCTTTATTAGCTTTACATCCCACATTATATCCATACTTCAAAACACGTATATACACCTTGAAAGTAGTTCGCATCAATATTACATACGTTGTATGGTTTTGAGTTACACAAGTCGAGACGCAAATATATTCTCCGCGCAAACACACAAAGATCTAGATCAAATTGCCTTCATCGTCTAAACGTAATAATGAGACGGCACAGCGACCAGTATCATGTCCACGGAGAACTGTCTGGTCGAGCATATTTATTAACAAAATTCGGTTCCTTCTAACTTAAGTACACTTTATTCATTTACATCAAAGGATATGACTAAAAATATATTATTAAAAACAGTTTCTACTCGATTAACTTCAATATAAATCTTGAATCACCCCACTTCCCAAGTGTATATATTTCATTCTGTGCGTGTCTCAGCAACTTGATACAGTAATTGTGCGCTGAATTCGAGTCCCATCACAATTACACAGATGTTAGAAATACAACCAAATTCATTCTCGTTTATTTATATATAATGAAAAGTGTATCCCCCAGACATGCGCAGTACTGAGATGGGATTTATAATACTAGTATTGAAAGCAATACATACGTCACACAGCGCGCGTTCGAACTTCAGGTATTGTACATTGAACGCGACAAGGTGCGACGACCGTGACGCGTTAAACAAAAATGTAGATTTTGTTATTTGAAAAGTTGTCATCTTGTTATTGTTAACGCGAAGGGGGTCGTCACTTGCGCACGCACGACAATTGATTCCCAAGCAACGATAACTACGCACGCTAAAACGCAAAGGCTCATGGGTAGACGCTTGTTTGTAAACAACGACACGTTATGGCTGTCCGACGCATGCGCAGATGACTCTCCCGCTTTAAATAGTCGGCGTATATTCTGTATATTTTGAACATTGTACACAAAGTAACAAATTAAATATGTAATGGCGAACCTCATATAACTATTATATACTCGTCCAGACTGCACATCGAAGACCGAAGTACCATCTTTGAAGCCATTCGTAATTTCGGAAGTATAATTTTTTCGAGCCTGTTTTCTGTAAACAAAACGATATAATTTACATCTATACGTAGCTCTTTGGTCCATATTGAACACGACGCGTTGCGAAAAACACCACCTTTCAAATAGTATTAGTAATATACCCAGTGCATAGTATATAGTTTCAAATTTCCGTGTATTCTGATAAATATCTAATATAATATCATATTTGGTTAACACGATTAATATGAAATATTTACAATGTATATCATGCGTCTTTCTATGTATATACAAAGGTAAAACAATTCTAATTTAAAACATGATTCTAGTATTTCGTAGATTTTAAAATGTCTGATAAGGTAGCACGGCACACTGCATGTAATAAGTATTATGTAATTATGGCTGTTGTGTTGTATGTATGCAGAAATGGTCAGCTCAAATTTCAGTGTATGTATTACAATATTTGCCTTATGCAGACTGAGCAATGTGGTAACTCCACAAGACTGAGCAGACAACCACGTTGACACGCAATAGTGTCTTTGTTTGATTTATGTATTCAATGAGTGCATCATTGTTATATCCACAATATGGAATGTAAGGTGTTCCGAACATCGGCATTATGGTACACGGTTTCCCGCAATGTCATGACGAATATCCTGAAACCGTATCGATAGTTTCCTCGCGCGCAGAAAAATGTCGATCACGCAAATTCGCTGCTAAGAATAACAACGGCGGTCTAGGCAAATTCAAGGTACGTGCCCATGGGCGCGTCAATACTCTGGGCAACGTCGATAACATGCTGCACGAGGCAGGAAACACCGCCATAGCAACGAACCTGAAATGGTTTCAAATTCAGCTTAATGCTCTCATGTGTAAGGTCTGAGAAATCGTGTCCATCCGAGAGAAGCCTGTCCCATTTCTGTAGTGTTTTCTCCATTTCTTCTTTGATCCGTACTTGGTTCGGCCCTTCCGTTTTACCGGTTCTTGACATTTTCTTCCAAATGCTCATATCGAATTGCTTACGAATGACTTTTAGTTCGTTGATGATGTTTAAAAACTCTTCAATGAACTGTACATTTAATAAACTATCATCAAATGACGAAATTTTCCTCTCTGTATTGACCGACGCTCTCTTCGCTCTCGCACTTTTATTATTCACGATAGCCAACGCTGGGGGCGTCTTACTCACAGTTCGCGATTTTTCCAAGGCTTTCTTTGCATACATCTCTACCTCGCCAAGGCTGTGTATTTTCGACACCTTCACGGGTTTGACTGATTTCAACGCTTGGATGAATCTCTGTAGTTCTAATTCGAAATACGAATACGCGTTTCTCGTGTCGTCCAATGACTTTCGTATTTGCGTTCTTGCCGCCTCCAATTCCATCTTAGTAACCACGTGACTTTCGTTATCTGGGCCACCTGCAATGTGGATAAGAAGAAATATGACATTCTACATGTGATTTAAAATGCGACAAGTCAAAAGTATTATATTTTGTCTGATATAGGTGTGGTCAAAGTTTTATTGTCTAAAATGGGAGGGTTAAAACATTATTTTGGCTAATAATTAGATATTGCCTAAAATGGGAGGAATCGAACTACAATAATTTGTATAAATCGGAGGGATCAAATTTAATATTTTTCCTGAAATAGAAGGGTCAAATGTATTATACGTTGTCTGAATCGATGGGGTCAATGATATTTTGTCACAAATGGGAGGGATAAAAATATTACTTTTTGTATAAAAAAAAGGATGAGTCAACATATAATACGATTACACTACTATAACAAATTACGCATCCTCCACAGAATCGTAATCTGGTTTTGTCTGGTTTATATAGCAGATGCAATAACATATTAGGATGTTGTCAGAATACCTTTCAGTTGCCAGGCAACCGTGCATTGTTATATATGCTATATGCACACACTGCCTGAATGTTATAGTATTTACACCACAGTACGTGGCAACACATTGGGAATTAGATAGCGTGCGTAATCAGTTGAAAATTCACACCTCGCATTTTAAGCGCGATTTGACAATAACTTAAACGTCAGTTTGCATGGAAGCGGATGTCCTCACGCGGTTGTGATTTTAATTCAATCTATTCAACCTAAAACTCGACTAAACACTATAAGTTTATCGACACGCACCAAATAGTAATACGAGGTGATCAGCAACATATACACCGTATCGTTTTCCAAAAATACACAAGCCGCGTTTTTGTTTTTCAATGAGCCAAATGACCTTTATGGAAACTTAAAACGGGAGGGTCGTCACCTGCGCACGCGCGGGATTTGAGTCCCAAGCGATATTAGCAACCATGGTAACAACATATGCCGCTAACAACGCAAAGACTCATGGGTAGACCCTTGTTTGTAGGCGATGACACGCTATGGCCACCTGACGCATGCGTAGGTGACGACTCCCCCGCTTTAAACCAGCTGAGTCAACATACAGTGATATGTCGTGTGATATGTTGCATGGCATATGGTACATTTCCCAATAGTTTATGCGCTGTTTATACATGCATAAAATGAACATTTTAACGTATTACATATAATTAAATTAAATGGGCAAAAAAAAAAAAAAAAAAAAAAAAAAAAAAAACGCTGATCAGAGACAGTGTACAACTTACGTGTATATCAAACGAAAGCGTGAGGGCGTACTCGAATTGATTCGTTGTCAGTATAAACACGTTTTATTGTAAACTAAATATATAATCGGCTTTCTATACCTAGGGAAGAAATATAACTCATATTAACTTTGTCCTACCTTCCTGCATCATCATTGAAATCCGTCTTCCTACTTCTTTTGCATCGTTGACCGTAGTTGGTCTTTTTCTCCTCATCAGTGTTCTTATAGTTTCCTCTTTCGATGCATGAACGCGGGGATAGTCTAGTATTTCTGGTGATGGATTTGGCACCTTTGGGGGCGCTATATCATCGTGAAGTGACGATATCAAATTTTTTCCCGGCGCTGTTCTTGGCTTTCTCCTCTTTCGAATGTCTTTCAGCTGTTTTATTTTCAGAGCGGCGACGGGTCCCGGTTTTCCGGCTATTTCGTCATCTTCTAAAGACGTTGTAAGGTTCCTTACACATTCGTCGTAATCCGCATCGGTGATGGTGGTTCTCAGCGTGATTTGAACAGCGCCCGCTATTCTCAAGGTGGTTGGATTGACAAGTACGTTCTGAAACATCGCGTTGAGACGCCCGTCAATGTACTCCGACCAGAATATTTTCAGCGATGAGAAATCTTTGCAAGCGAGGCGAAAATATAAACACTTTCGCCTGACGTCGTCGATGAAGACGCCCTTGATGCGTTCTAATTGGTCTACGGCTTTGTTTACGTCATCCATATCGTGAATCAAATGGGTAAAGTATGGCTCCGAAATATTGGCCAGCAAACGGGTGAAAGGATCCGTCCGATCTGAGACATACGAGCCGACATGCGAGTTAGAACCAGCAATGGATTTATCCCCGCTGTGATATCCACTGACGGGCCTGTCGTCCAATTTTGACCCCGATGAAGGGGACGCCGCGTTAAGAATTTTAGCGATTTCAGAACACATGTCATCGTCTTCGTCATAAGGAAAGTCGGTCTGGCATTCTTGATTTTTGTAAAGTACAGTGTCGTTTTCAGTTTGGTCGTTTTGTTCTCTATCTCGGATATCGACACTGTCTGTCACGTGTTCACTATGCATTGACACTTCCTCTGGTTTGTCATTTTCAAAGGCATCGTTGGCAGTTGTTATTAAACACTCGCTCTCCGCCGGTGTCTCTGGCTTTATCAACTTTTCCAGAAGAGGTTTTGCAGGTATTGCGTCGGTTATGTCGACGGTCACTCCAAGGAATCCTAGAAATAAAGCGATAGTGTTGAGTAACCTAACCATTTGTCGGAGAATTCACACTGCTATAGTACTTCAATAAAT